GGCCACACAGGAGATGCTAGGACAAAATGCTGTTCTGACTTCATAAAGATGCCGATAAAGTAACATTTAAAAAGTGATTTGGAATCATCCAACTTATCAATTTACGGCAAATTCTTCACATAATGATACAATGTAATTGTGGCACTCTTCTCTTGGTAACTATCCATTTAAAAGAAAAAGTACTTGCCAATGTATGAACCCCCAATGTGCCCCTGCTGTGGTTAAAGGGGGTAAGGTAGAGAGCTCTAAATTCATGTTCTGTTTTTAGGTCCAAAGGAAGAACCATGAAAGATTGTGCAAGCATTATATTTCCAACTTTGTTCCTTGAGCAATTTAAATAATCTCGAACTCTTCTACTTCCCATCTCGGCTATTTTGGTTTGCTCATTTTCAATTTTATTTCTAACCAACATATTCTGCCATTTCATACAATGGCTGTAGGAAGTCTACAAACAAAAGATGGCAAATACAGGTGACAACAAGAACAACGTCTAAATTTACTAGAATTCAATGATTAATGAATAACCTCCTTGGCAACACTACGCTAATGTGGGAGAAAGCATTATTTTAAAGATTTAGTCATTATTACTCATCCTAGTGTATATTCTCTACTTAAGCACACCTTTTTATAAAATCAATAGAACATAAATAAATGACTAGTACATTTTAGTGTAATCTATGAGGAGGGTCAGAACTTGAGTTTTAGTGTTTTAAATTGAAGAATTTTTTTTTTTTAAAGATTAATGGAAAACATACCTTTCACTACAAAACTTTCTCTCTTTAGACACTGTGCTTGTTTTGGTTTTATGGTTAGGAATAGAAACATGTATTCCAAACACTATAGCAGGAGTAGGCAACTTTCGGCACCCCAGAGGTTGCATAATACATCTACCATAGTGTATTTACTGTCATAATACTGGCCAAGCATCAAGGGAGATGTAGTTCACTTATACTTACCCATGCACTACAGTGTTAACCTCACTGTTTAGATTTAACCCCAAATATCCCCTCCCACTTAAGTTTATTTAAAACAAAAAAGGAAAAATAGAAAAAGTTTTTACATTTTTAACCTTTTTTCCCGCACAGCTAGAGACCAGATGCAGCCGCTCACTTCTACACTGATGATGTCATCAGGCAGGCGACACTTCATCTTTTCGTCCAATCTTATGTACCTCATTGAGATGAAGTAGTCTGGGTGCCTATAGTGTCCCTTAAATGACACAGCAGAATTGTCACATTTAAATTGTCATGTCATTAAAATAACACCTTATCACTTAGTGAATACAGTGTGCTTGCTTACTACTATCCCCTCTAAAAAAATCTTTGTATTTTCTAAACACTCCATCCTTAGCACTTGGAGATCTTTTTTGGAAGTCTTCCTTGTACATGCTTTCCAACAGGTTTGATTTTCCCACTTTTGGGGACACCAGGAAACTGTCCTCAACAATCATAGAGGGAGACGCGCTACATAGAATGTAAGCTCATTGAGAAGGGCCCTCCACCTCTCTGTTCCTGTACGTCGAGTTGTCTGGTTACAACTAAATGTCTGTTAGACCACCCTTTGTACAGCGCTAGGGAATCTGATGGCGCTATATAAATAATAAAATAAGAAAAAGAAGAAGAAATGCTTGCGCTATGTTCAAGGCAGGGAGCACTGAAACAGTGATCCCTGCAGGGTCTGTGCTAAATGGACTGGCCTTGCAGTAACACCAGGCTGGCCTGCCAGTAACATATGTGCAGAGGTAGAGCTGAGTAGAACTGTAATGTCTTTTTTGCAGATGGATTGTGAAATTGGTCCTATACTGCATAACATGGCACTCACCAGGCATGATTCCCTGGGCTCCTCAGAGGATTCCAGCTTGGGGGAGAACATAGTCTGATATGGTGCTTGTCTGGGAGGTTCGTCTTGTGTTAGGGAAGAAAGATCTGGTGGGGTCTTTGTGGCACAGACTAATGCAGCTATGGTGGAGTTCCATAAAGGATATAAGGCTTTGGTGTCCTGGATGACTGGGCTAAAACATGTAATGTAATGTGCGAATAGTTCAAACGTCTAAAGCACCCCGAGAGATACGATTCCAAAAAGTGAGACATGAACACACTTATGGTGCAATACAAAATCTGCTGTCTGTCACCTTAGAATGGTCACAAATGAAATGTATCCCTACATTTTGTGCAATGGAGATCTACAGAAAGTATCATACGGGTGGTGGCACTTGATGGACACTCCATTACGGGTACCAAGTTGTGTGGGGCACCAACCTTCCTGAAATTTTTGGGATTGCCCAGTGATTGTCTGCTGCCTACTCTTCTGCACCAGTGGAACATAGCGACTGCTTCAACATTTGTAAATCACCTGCCTGAGAAGGTCTCTGCCATTATTACCCCGGATTTCTTCACCTAGGACTGGCTCTGCAAGCTTCAGACATTGATTCTGTAAAAAGATTATTTACCATTTTTTTTTTTCCTTTCACGCAATGTAATGGTTAATTTTACCTAAAAAGTGTTCATCTGTACTAATAATGTGAAGCTTTTAAAAAAAAAATCAAAAACATTTTAATACAGATTCTTACTAACGTAAGGCTAAATGTATATTTTGGTTCATTCCAGCAGATTTCTTACACGTAGCAATTATACTATTTTGATGCCAAGCCTCTTAAGGAAAGCTGTATTTTCTCCTTTTTATTGTTTTATATACTGCATAACCGCTTACCTACAACAAGATTCCACTTTTTTTGTGATTGTATCTATATACGTGTTGTACTTGTAATTAAGACCAAAAATAAAGAAGAAAATAAATAAATCATTAATTTGAATATCAATTACCAGTATTAAAACAGCCTTCCAAAACTGACCCTGGTACCCAAATTCCCTCTCCATCCCACTGCCATGAGAACAATATTAGCATGGAGGAAAGAAAGCAAGGATGAATCTATTCATGTGAACATTTGGGATGAGGTTAACACAGGCCTAAAGACAGACCTTTACGGTTTCCCTTGGCATTTTCTTGTCTTGCAGGTAATCTATAAAACACAGCACCAAGCTGCAAGCAGTCCTTTACCTGGAAACTTAACCCAACATAGGTAGGGCCTGAAGCAGTGATTATTAACATGGACATGTTCAGATGGGTGGCAACTGATAACTGGGCCTTGTCCAGAAAAAGGGTTCCCAGATATCACTTGGATGTCCTCTTGATTACATTACTTGCAAGTATGAATACATTACAAATGTCTCTTCATAACGATAGTAGACTCAGACTTTCTGTTAAATTCAGTAGTTTATCAAGCAATCAAGATGAGGTCAGAGGCCAAGTTCGGATAAAAGTAGACAACCTTTAATAATTAGTGATTCAATAACTATTGTTAATGGTGACACTCATTGACCACAGACAGACCCTATCTCCCATGTATCTGATTACAGGCATTCCCCCACACTGTCTCCAGAAGACAAGTACGCAAGCTATCATTCCCAGACAGTCCAGGGAGAGCACAAAGCCTTCAATATCTGCCGGGAATACAATCATAGCATTGAGACAAATATCAAAACAGCAAGCAGGGGATTACTGAAAGTGCTGAAGTGGAAGTGATTTAAAGGCACGCAAAAGGCTTTGCATGGTGAAAAATAATTTTAAAAAGGCAGGTAGTTCACTCAGTGAAATAAAGCATGGAAAGTGTACCTTTTATTAGTCAACATTTAAAAATAAAAATTAGCTTTCTTGGTTGGTTATCACAGAAAAGACAAAAATATTTTATTTAAAGGAACACTCCCATCACCTTAACCACTTAAGCTCATCAATAGGCACCCATTGAGAAAAAGTGCGTGTAACATAAAATAAGCTGAAGGTGTTATGAGGGTTGGAAGTGTTCCTTTAAATGTGTGTGTGCAGTGAGGATGAGTGACTCTGCCAATCAAGATTGGATCCTATAATTTAGGTCTGGCTCCTTGATAAAAACAATCAAGTTTGCCAACAGGGGAAAAGCTCTGATATCTGTGACAAGCACCCTATAGAATTTTTAGCAGTTATATCATGGAATAAATCTAATTTTCCACTATTAAATCAGGAAATAAAAATAAAATCTACAGGGCTATTCACAAAGTATAAACTGTCAGAATTTCAAATTTTAGGCAAAAATAGTTGAACTGAAAGCAGAGTTTACTAAAAATTTGTTTCCAATTCAGCAATTTCAGCCCAAAATCTTGACATTTCACACTTTCATTTCTGAAATGAAATATCAATCAATAAATAATAATGAATATATGTACATTCTATTCAATATAGTACATTTAGTCATAGGCGTGTACAAGGGGTGTGCCGGGTGTGCCTGGGCACACCCCAATCCCCGCGGCACGCCTATGGAGTGAGACTGGCAGGGGAGATCTCAGGATCTCCCCTGTCGGCTCACGCAGAGCCGGCGCTATCCGATCGCCGGCTCTGCTCTCCATGGGAGGGAGGCAGGAGAGGACCCGGGGAGCTATTGCCAGCGGCTCCGCCGGGTTCCTCTCGCGAGATCTGAGCGTTGCTGCGGCAACGCTTAAATCTCGCAAGAGTGAACTCTAGCCCCGCAGGCTAGAGTTCACTCTCCACTGGACCACCTGGGAAGGCAGCAGCATGGTCCCCCCTCCCTACATAAGGTAATAAGGGAGGGGGGATATTTATTAACTAATCTGCCCCCACCTCCACAACCACAAATCACCCAAACATATTAACTGATCTGCCCCCACCTCCACTGGACCACCAGGAAAGGCAGTAGCAACAAGGATGCCCCCTCCCTACAAAAGGTAAGAAGGGAGGGGGGATATTTATTAACTAATCTGCCCCCACCTCCACAACCACAAATCACCCAAACATACAGCACACACACAGCACCCACACCACTCACATACATACAGCACCCTCACACACACAGCACCCTCACAAACAGTACACTAACAGCACCCTCACAAACACACACACATAAACACCCTCACCCACATAGCACACTACCAGCACCCTCACACAGCACACACACACAGCAGTGTGTGTGTGTGTGTGTATGTGTATATATATATATATATATATATATATATATATATATATATATATATACACACACATACATATATATATATATACATACACACACGCAGCGTGTATTTGTGCTTTAGGGTGCACACCCTAATGCAATAGGCTGCGCACGCCTATGCATTTAGTTAAAGTCTGTATGAAGTGGAAACCTGCCGAGCTAAGACACTTAGTACTGGTCAAAATAAAGATAAATGCGACCTTGGAATATTCAGTATCAACAATTACTCTCTGGGATCTCTACTAAGCGAGATAAGAAATGGATTGTTTCTCTCTACAATAAACAATGGATGCTTCTTCAACAAAAGAGCACACACTGGCCTTTAGAAAAACGGCCAAATACGAAGAGAAAACACATACATAAACAATTAAAAGTTCTAGTTTATGGGACTGGGTTGCAAAAAGGCAAGCTATAACTACATATTGCTTACCATTTACTTTTACAAGTAAAATAAAACAGGAATATTCATTTCCTCTCCTGAATAACCTGATAGTGAAATTAAATTAAAAAAATAATAATGTATGTAACAAATTTTGTAGATCCCCTTTAACATACCTCCCAAGCAAGGCAGCCATCAAGGCAGCCCACCCTAGAGAACACCTACAGGGCTCACCACTGTTTCCACTGACATGGCCCAACCCCAAGTCCGCCTCGGACGCAATGAGTGTGTATTTTGGATGGAGAGTGTGTATAATGGATTTACAGTGTGCATATGAATAAAGTGGACCCCCTCAGTCGTCTTTCCATCCAACTTATGTTTTGTCTGGTCTCCCGCGCCTCACATGTACTGGTGGCCTTTTTTTTTTTTTTTGCATTTAATGCCATTTTTATGTTATAGAATATACCTGAATTATCTTTACAGTGCGGGGTCTGGGAGATGATTTTGTATACTATATGTTGCATTATACAAACACAGAATTCAGGGATCGAAATTATATCTCTAAAATAGATAAAGAAGAGAAAACAAGGTGCAATATTGTTTTGACATCAAATAAGACACTTCTTGGTTTCACTCACAAATTAGATGTAGTAAAAGGTGCCTGCCCTGTTGGTTATGAGGTGTTGTGGTCCCAATCTGGAAGTCAAATTCAGGAACTCCGATAATGTTAAAATCCGGAGATATAATGAAAGGTACAAAATTGCTTTAATGGCATACATAATAAAACCAAATTTAAAAGAACAATTGTTGAAAAACAAAAGCCAAGTGGGTCCTGCACGTTTCGTTCTCCGTAGAAAACTTCCTCAGGGAACAATGTGTAAAACAAAAATGCTTAAAACAGCCAATTTCACCCTCCCACAGTCCCCCTTTAAATATGGCTAGCCATGGAAGTTCATTGGTGGTATAATGGGCGTTGTTCCGTCCTTCCACGAGATTCGGTACCTGACAGGTCTCCAGACTTATCATTCTGCTAGATCCATTGACTCCCCTTTTCATAGCCGTTATCATTTGCCGTTAATTCAGTTCCCAGTAGGTAGAATAGGCATCTGCCAGGTGCCTGTCCTGTAAGGGCACCTGTTTACAGCACTTATAATTACTTATAATTTATACCAGGAGCCTTGGCCAGTGTTCTCTGTGTCTAGTCAGCCTCCTATACTTGATAGAATAATTGCAGGAACAGTTAGAGAAGGTGTAAAATTCAATGAAGCTCCAGCTCATCCAGTGTCTGGACAGGAATATGAAGAGATCACTTCCCATCTGCCTACTAACAGCCTCTCACAAAGGAAATACCTTAAAGGAGGAGCAGGGACAGCACTGAGTGATACACACTGTGTAACAGTTCTACTATCAATCATAGCAGGGTGAGTACTCAGCAAACATCCTTCAAACACTAACTGCTTGTACCATAAACACCCCTTTTTCCCTAACCCAAAATGTAACCCCTTCCAAAATGTAAAAAAATATTTTTCCTTAGTCCCAAACTTAAAGGGACACTGTAGGCAGCAAAAGAGCTTAATAAAGCATTTTTTTTAACATTCTTTATTTTTGCTTGAGTGGTAGACAGTGACATATACAGTGATATTCAACAAATATTAACAGTAGTATGATAATAGTAGTATCAGTGTTGGCAACATTAGTGAGACATAGGTTCCGCTGGGTACTCTGCGAATATACAGTTATTCAAGGTGGAGGAAGTACATAAGTAGAGTGTTGCGATGGGTGTGAGCCTGTTTGTGGCCAAGTGCATGGTGGTTGCTAGCCATTAAATGTGGCTGGGGAGCCCCAGTCTCCTCTGTGGTATTCCACCAGGAGTCCTCAGTTCCATGTGTAATGAAGCATTTTTGATGTAAAGATCATAAGCCTTCAGTCTTGCTGTTAACTCTTCGCTGCCATCTAGAAGTTAAATCACTTTGTTTATGCAGCTCTAGTCACACCTCCAGGGCCGCCATCAGAAATTTTGGGGCCCATGACAAAGCACAAGGTCTGCCCCCCCGCCCCCCCTCCCGGGCCCGCCCACGCCCTACCTAGTCCACTCACAATGATGCAGGACTGAATGTGGTGTGTATAGTGGAAGTGAATTAGAATGTGTGTTATGGATGTAGTGTTTGTGTGTATTAGATACTGTTTGTGCAGTGAATGCAGAGTGTGTGTTTGTGTAGCGGATGCAGTGTGTATAGTGAACGCAGAGTGTATTTGAGTAGTGGATGTAGTGTGTGTACAGTGATGTAGTGTGTGTTTGTGTAGTGGATGTAGTGTTTGTATGTACTAGATGAAATGTGTTTAGTGGATGCAGTGTCTGTAGTGTGTGTATTAGACGCAGTGTCTGTGTATACTGAATGCATCGTGTTTCAATTTGTGGTGGATGTAGTGTGTGTACTGGGAATACAGGATGTTTGTGTAGTGGATGCTGTGTGTACAGTTAATGCAGAGTGTATGTTAGTGTAGTGAATGCAGAGTGTGTGTCAGTATAGTGAATGCAGAGTGTGTGTTAGTGTGTAATGAATGCAGAGTGTGTCAGTGTAATGAATGTAATGTGTGTGTAAATTTGTAGCGAATGCAGAGTGAGTGTTAATGTGTAGCGAATGCAGAGTGAGTGTTAGTGTAGTGAATGCAGTGTTAATGTGTAGCGAATGCAGAGAGTGTGTTAGTGTGTAGCGGATGCAGAGTGTGTGTTAGTGTAGTGGATGCAGTGTGTGTTGTGTTAGTGTATGCAGTGTGTGTGTTGTGTTAGTGTATGCAGTGTGTGTGTGTGTGTTAGTGTATGCAGTGTGTGTGTTGTGTTAGTGTATGCAGTGTGTGTGTGTGTGTTAGTGTATGCAGTGTGTGTGTGTTAGTGTATGCAGTGTGTGTGTTGTGTATGCAGTGTGTGTGTTGTGTATGCAGTGTGTGTGTTGTGTGTGTTAGTGTATGCAGTGTGTGTGTGTTAGTGTATGCAGTGTGTGTGTGTTGTGTGTTAGTGTATGCAGTGTGTGTGTTGTGTGTTAGTGTATGCAGTGTGTGTTGTGTAAATGTGTGATCTGGGGGGGAGGGGAAGGAAGGGGCATTTTAACATTAATTTTTTATTAAATTAATTAAATGTTTCTCCCCCCTCCCTGCTTACCTGTGTCCAGGAAGGAGGGAGATTCCATCCCTGGTGGTCCGGTGGGGGGGGGGCCCCCCGGCTCTCTGTTACCGCAGAGGGGGCCCAGCCACCACACAGCTTCTCCTCTCTTCTAATAACTCTCGCGAGACCCGGTAACCATGGCAACGCTCAGCGGGTCTCGCAAGAGTTATTAGAAGAGAGGAGGAGAAGCTGTGTGCTGCCTGGGCCCCCTCTGCAGTAACAGGGAGCCGGGGGCCCGCGGCTGCACACATAGATCGCGATATTCGCTATCTATTGGTGCAGAGAAAGAAAGTGGGGCCCAGGACTGCCAGAGCAGTCTGGGCCCCCCAGGGCCGCCGGGCCCGTGACAATAGTCACGGTTGTCACCCCCTGATGGCGGCCCTGCACACCTCCCTGCATGCGACTTGCACCGCCTTCCTAAACACTGCCTGTACAGAGACATCTGTTTAAACTTTATTGCACATTCTGTTTTTTATTATTTAAAACTTCGTATCCCCTAATCTACCTTACCTTCTCTGTCCTTAGGCCACCTGTGTGTAGTTCAAGTTAAATTTACAGAGCAGTAGATTAAAAAAAGACTTCTAAAGCAAGCTAACATCTGATTGAAAAAAGAAAAAACCTTTTGTCACAGCTAGGGTAGGTGTGGATAGGGTGCATAAACAGAAACAAAAGTAATTTAAAGGGACACTATAGTCACCAAAACAACTACATCTTATTTTATTCTGGTTGTTCTGGTGAGTCAAATCATTCCCTTCAGGCTTTTTGCAATAAACACTGTCTTTTCAGATACAATTAAGTGTTTACATTATAGCCTAGTTATAACTCCACTAGCCACTCCTCAGATGGTTACTAGAGGTGTTTCCTGGGCCAGTGCTGCACACTGTGCAGTACTGCCATTTAGTGTATCCTCCCTCTGCATGCAGACACTGAACTTTCCTCATAGAGATGCGTTGATTCAATGTATCTCTACGAGGAGATGCTGATTGGCCAGGGCTGTGTTTGACTTGTGCTGGCTCTGCCCCGATCTGCCTCCCTGACAGTCTCAGCCAATCCTATGTGTCATTAAGGGGTTAAAGGAGCACTATAGGCACCCCAGACCACTTCATCTCAACAGAGTGGTCTGGTGCCACGTCCCTGTCGTTTCAACCCTGCAACGGAAAACACTGCAGGGTTAAAAAGCCTCTAGTGACTGTCACACTGACAGCCACTAGGGGTGCTTCTGCCAAAATAGCCTAGTAAAACACTGTTATTTAAATCAGATGGTCTCATAGTGACCATTTAATTGGGACAGCACTGCATTTTGCCAACAGGTAAGCATTGGATTGACTGAGATCATCAAGATTGATGAGGTCAGACACAGAGGCAGAGCTTCAGCATGAAGACACGAATTGTAAGGCAAGTATATTCACCTTTTAAATCTTTACAGCGGGTGTGGTCAACTATAGGTACAGAAACACTATAGCATTAATACTTTTGTATTCCTAATGCCAGTGGCGTTCCTACCATGGTCGCAGGGGTCGTGGCTGCGAA